GGTAAATCATCATGAATCATTGATTGATTAATAGATGTTGTATTTAATGCTGTAAGATCTTCAGCAATTTTAACTTGAGTTAGAAATTCTTGTGTTGATTTGGGATAATTTCTTCGTGTTTCAACAGATAATGATGGACGAAGACCATTCATTAAATAATGTACCTTTGTGGATTCATTCATATCTGGATCAGCTTGTTGAATTAATTTAAGCATTTCATTATAATATTGAAAAGCTGATTGATGAACTGTTTGATGATATTGTTGAAGTTTTTTAAATGCTATATCTCGTTGAAGATTAGAATGATATGATTTTTTTATTTCTGTAATAAATTGTGACCAAGAAACAAAAAATTTTTTATTTTGTCGATACCATTGTTGAGCTTCACCTTTTAAACAAATTTGAATTAAATTTAACTTATCAAATTCAGATAATTGCATAATATGAAATTGTTGTTCAATTTCTTCTAACCAATTAATAACACTGTCTTTACCACCATAGAATTTAATAGGATCTTTTATAAATTTATCAATTAAAGCTTTTGAAATTGTTGGCGATAGAGAATGAGATAAAGTTGGATTATTTAAATCAGTTGATGGAACATGATAAGAAATAAATGGTGTTGTAGTATTAGTTAAATGATCAATAGATTTATCATTTGAATTTGTATCTTGAATAACTTGTGAATTAACTAAAGAATATTTATTTGACGATTGAGAAAATGTATGAGAATCAGGTGTTTGTTTAGTATTAATATATTCAAGAGTAAATAATTGACAAAAATCTGTATAACAATTTATTTTATGTTTGTTGAAACCAGTGGCGTAGCCAGCCTTGGGCAATTGGGCAATTGCCCAATAGCTTAAAAGTTATTGTCCAATGATACTTTGGAAACGATAGCAATTGCCCAAGACTAAAATCTTGATGTATGTGTGTTCAAAGACTTCGGTGATGTTACTTTAATAAATCGCTACCAAAACTTGGCAAATCGGAACTTTTTAAGTCACAAATTAGAACAAGTCAGTTAAATTTCGTCTCAAGTCAGTCAAGTCAGGTTAAAGTCTCTAAAAATTCTTTCGAAGTCAGTCAAACAAATTAAAAATGGCTTAACTTGTTTTTGACTTGACATTCCCAGCTCTACCGCTTCCTGTAGTAATTCAATCAAGTGATCGAGAAAACGACAATTCCTCATTAATAAGCATTGGTTTTCGTAATGGATAATACTTTCAAAACAATGAAGCCCAATAGACTTTTAATTGCCCCAAATGGCCCAATCCTATAAAAAATTTATCAGGAAATGGCCAAAGATCCAAAAATTGCTGGCTACACCACTGAAGAATATATTTGTAAGATATTAGAGAAACCGAGTATGCTCGCCTCTAACTTGAAAGTAATAATTCATCTTTAAGAAGCATCGATTTTTGTGATAGAAATAAACACTAAAAAAAAATGGTGCCCAATAGATTTTAAATTGCCCAATATTGCCCAATCTTTAAAAAAAATTATCAGGAAATTGCCCAAGACACAAAAATTCCTGGCTACGCCACTGGTTGAAACTATACCAAATCATTGATCGACCAACGAAAAAATACTGAAGAATTTTAAGACGATCATCAAATGATAATTTCAAATTAGAAAATGTTGAATCCACTTGAATAAACCAGTGATATGCATTTTCATTGCCAGAAAATGGTGGAATATGATCACGAAGAAAATCAAGTAAAGATGGTTTTTCATCTAAAGCATTTGAATGATTATCATTTAAATCAGCTATTTGTTCTTCATTAAATACAGATGTTTGTTGATTTGTTTGAATTTGTTGATTTTGTTGTTGATTTGAATGAAGTGAATTATCTTTTTCTATTCGTTCTTCTACAGTTGATGAAGTTTTTGATTCAAGTTGTTTTTGTAAAATTGCATTATCAGTAGATAAATTTTTAATTTGTTCATTTGTAATTTGTGTTTGAATATTAGAAAAATCTCTATTAGGATTATCTTTTGAACTCATTGAAAAGGATGATATGTTAGGTAAAAGAGATGATTTAGTTGTAGTTGTTTGTCGTTGTTTATGTGGTAATTGAAGATTGTTAATTGATATATTTGTTAATGAAACTTTAGAACGAGTGTTCATAAATTTTTGTTAATCATAATAGAATAAAATAAAGATGCAAGTTAATAAAAGCCAAGGGTCGCCAATTGTTAAGGTGCAAATACCAGTGTGGTGTTATTTTAATTATAAGATGAGGAAAAAAAAGGGAAAAAGTAAACAAGAGATGTGTAAAAGGAACAAAGACAGCTGTTTATGTGACAAGTGAAGATATATATATATATGTATGTATCAGTAAGAAAAGAAAAGGAACGAAACAGAAAGAGAAAAGAAAAGAAAGAAAACATATGATTGTGTATATAATACACAGATCATAACCGTGTTTATGCAAAATTAAGAAGAATATATAATACTTTCAAATTTATTGTGAAAAAAAATAAAATGTTCTTCGTTGTGAAGAATATTCTTCTATAGAAAAAGCATTTTTCTTTGTTCAGAGGAGAAATATAATGGATATTTTAAAAACTTCTTGATATGTGATATCTTTTGAGAGAAACTACATGGTGGCCACTATGAGGAAAATGTACTACATGATAGTTGGAATTCTTCTGCTAACCCTTTTTCAAATACTTAAGTACCAAAGTGAACTCCTTATTTTAATAATGATAATCAAACTATTAAGCATACGTATCAATCAAAACAGAAATCTATTAAGTTGGGAAGTTATATTATTGACTTTGAATCTCAATTACAAATAAATGTGAATGATCGCAATAGAGGCAAAACGATTTGAACGTGAATTCATGTCTCTATCAGCAAAGATCTAGAGGAATATGGTGGTAGTTTTGCAGTAGAATGGCAAGAATGTGAAACGAAAAATTACTTCGAAAATCTGGAACTGCCAAGATTGAAAGCTGGAATTTGATGGGAACACCGTCAATCCCTCATTTCGAAAACGAGAAGTCAACGTGAACTCAGTATTTTCAATGAAAACCATGCTTTTTTCCCGATGACCATCTTGAAAATATCACCATTCGGTGCAGAATTTGAACCTCAACCCAAGTTCAGGAGCGTATATCGGCAGGAAAACCTCGAATCCACTGCTGACTTTACTGTTGTGTCATCACATCGTGTGTATCATACGACTTTATTTTATTGATATTTTCATCAGAATAATTTTCTCAATCGAAATCTACCATTCGAAAAAAATTTTATGATATTTAAATAAATTCTTTTAAAACTCATCGGATGATCATAATGTACCATATACAAATGATACTGCTAAAGTAGACAAAGATGATAAGACTTGAACTAGCAGCCATGACCGGTTTCGACCTTGCTTAAGGATCTCGTTAGACGGCATAGTTCAATTCATTATTATCATAAGATGACAACGAAACTGCAATCAACCTCTAGAATAGAGGAGATACAGTGTTAGATTTGTATGATTACATTTAAGAACATACCATCTGATAAGACCCTTGAGCAAGGTCGAAACCGGTCATGGCTGCTAATTCAAAATGTGCAATAATCCACTAACTGAAACATCTTCCTACATCTCCTCATTTACAGTAAACGAAGCGTCATTGTATTTTATATTTTAATCCCATCGAGATTGCGTTAATAGCTGTTTGTTTTACACTCGATTATGGCTAACGGTCGCTCAATCATTTCTGCTATACTTATTCAGAACAATATTTAAAAACTGGCTGAATTGCTTGATGGACGTCTGTTAGTGGAACAATCGTCAAGAAAGAAAAGGCGAATTTCCAAGATTTCAAATCTCCGGAAACCCTTGAAATCCAAGGAGGACAATGAAAATCGCAAACATCTTAAAACTACAGAATCCACCTTTTTCTCTTTGAGTGCTTGATAAGGCTGTTGGTCATCGTTCACCTCAGTCGCTATCCAGTAGTCTTCTATGTCTGATATTATTCTTCTATCAACAGGATTTATTATTTCAATTTTATTATGTTAGCAAACCAAGTATCTTCATTCGAGTTCCGACAAACACTGTGATGACAGTGTTACTTATTCATATAATCTCTTATAATCGATCTCGGTAATAGTCGGCGATCTCATATACTTGATTTTGGGCTACAAAGCTTGGGAATTCCAAAATTAATGAAACTTCTCTTTCAATTTTGTTAAACAAATTTGAAAGTAAACAATCTTTTATTTAGATAGACGACCAAAGTCTCTTTATAAATTTAGTAGAAAGTTAACAATGAACGTGATCAAAAAATATTTTAAATGAAAGCATTTCTAGTCCAAAGCGAATCAAGCAAGCACATAAAAAAAAACGTTTATTTGCTGCAGAAGTGTCTCTAGTATTGACTGGCGGTTGTTGTTTTTGCACACCATCGAGACGTTTTAAGATAATCCAACATGATTTTTAATGCCTCGTTGGTTCCTATTCTTTCCAAAGCTAACAATGCATTACCATTAACATAGCGATTTTGATCGAGATAGAGCGCTCCTTTTAATACAGGTACTGCTTGAACGGCTTTGGTGCCGAGTTTAGCAATGGATAATGCAGCAACGAATCTAGCATGAGATTTTTGTTTGGAATCATTCTGCTCATCTCGGTTAGACAATACGTTTGTCAAACATCGTATAACTTCATCAATATCTTCGTGTCTATTCGATTGAATAGTTCCCAATGCTTCACAACAGTATTGTTGGACTAACCATGAATTGTTTGTTTGTACAACATCGATCAATAATGGTAATGTATCAAGAGCTAGTGGTCCCATTTCAGAAAAGATAAATGCTAGACAATATGCTATTTGTTCCGTATTTTTTTCATCTCTTAACACTTCTTGTAATTTCGTAATAGCATCTTTATTATACCTACATGCTGTTAATGCATAGGTGGCTTCAAAACGAAAAATTTCTTCATTATCATATAATCTATTGATTAATACATCGTACTCATTGCATAATGCTAGATTATAAGCCGCATTAAGACGAATCTTTCCATCTCGATCATTTAATAGTGATTTCCATCGAGTAATATCATTAGACGTGACGAATGCTTCTGGTGCTGCTACTACATGACCTAGCATCCAATTCCATATATGTTTGACAACCGGCTGCAATAAGCCAGCATCTGTTGCATCGTAACTCACATTTGCTGGATCGTGATTCCACGTTGGTTTAGTAGGTTCTTCCATTCTATTAAACTGAAACTTGAACATAAAACGATATGAACTGCTTGATGTATTTGCTGTACCTCTATGTACAATATCATAATGAATTAATACCACAGTACCGGCCATACAAACGACATAAATATCGTTCTTATCGTCGTTCTTTGCATCGCTACTTTCAAATATTTTATTGTGTTGATATATTTTTGGATCCATAACATCATATTGGGTTCGAGGTTTAATACCTGTGGGACCCATTTCAATGGTTGTGTCTTGGGGATAATACATAATCATTACATAGCGTAACTGATGATGACGAAGTAGTTTTCGATAACCAAAGAAACTATCTTTATGCCACGACTGATCATCTGATCCTGGACTTGTTAAATGAGGATGTCGATGAGGTTGCATAACATAATTTGAACCTAATAAACTCTCTAATGCGCCTGTAATTACTGGGTCATCGAATAAACGTTGAAGTAGAGGAACCCGTGGAAGAATATTATTTCCTGGATTGCCTTCTTTCTGAATTACAGAGAGAGCTTGTGTAAATATTGTTGAATGAAAATTTTCATCGAGAGATTTAGGTTGAAGTAACAAATAACCATTGATTAAAAATTCTTGTACTTGTCGATCTGTCAATAGGACGGGGATGTCCATGTTTGATTTTGTTACGAATACTAAAAGAAAATCAGTATACAATGCCTAATTCTAGTTTAAAAATTTTCTGTATGTACGAATAAAAAAAGTCATCGAAAAAAAAACTCACACCAGTACTGTTATTTGTGTTGTTGTCTGCTATATAACGTCACTTTTGTTAAGTAATGTAAGAGCAAACCACATGACTTGCACAAACAAACATTGTTTTTTTTTGTAGCGTATACGTAAGCGCCTACTAATACTTTGCTGTAATATAAGATGAGTCATTCGTGTAGACGAAAAAGAATAAAGAACGATAAACTATTGCTATCTGTTGCCTATGATGCGCACATACAGAAAGAAAAACTAAATGGATGTAACGGCGTAGAAGAGAGAGAAGCACAATTGTCTTCAAATAATGTATAATCAAGAAAACTGAAAAGAAGCAGTGAACTGAATTGAGTTCGGATAAAAGTACTAGAAATTCGAACAAGTCAGATGATAGAAGCATCAGAATCTGATTATGCTGGATATATACATAAAAAGAACTTTCTTATGTTTGATATCACATAACAAGAATAGGATCAGATCTAGTACACGTTGCATAATTCAGAATAAGTGGTAACCTTTCTCTCGACTTGGGTGCCTTTAGATGTGTCAGGGAAGGTCCATCGATGATCAGTTTGTGTTGATGTAAAAAACTTCGTCTACATATCATTGTCAATTTGAAAACAAATCCAGAACTAAACAAATATTTTGCCATTCTTTGGCTAAATTTTCAATGTCGATACAACATTCATCGAACACTATACTCAGCATTAAAAACTCCAAAAAGAACAAGGATTTAGTGTGTCCCTGGAAAACAGCATGGTCACTAAACTTACACTTCTTTTTAGATATTGAATTCATCATCAACATCATCCATAGAATATTTAATATCAGCAACGGTAGTATATTTAAAATGAATTTATTTGACATAAAGATAATTATTTGAAAGAAGAAATGGATGATAAGCTAAAGGAAAAACATCACTACCCGTTCAAATGATGAAAGAAGTACAATATATACCACAAGATAGCAGCTTCGCTTGATTGTCCACTTTATAGATAGTCGATAAACATTTAAGTTATTAAATATGCGAGTTTCTTTTATCTAATGAATAAAAAATGTTAGCAACTAATAATATCTAGGCGTGGGCGGCGCATGTCTCTGATATATGTATACTTTTATCATACGTTCGCTCTATTACCTTCTCATTTTCGATTCGAATTGTCAGGTGGTGACATTATTTGCACTTTACCTTTTTCTTTATGTCATTGTCGATGACGTCATGTATATGTATTCCATCTTTATCTTCTTTCGTTTCGCTGTCATACGTGAGCGCATATTTGTTATCTTTTCTATATATTCAGATGCATTCTTCTCTTTCTCATGCCTCTCTATACTGGTCATGCACGTTCTCTCTCGTATTTTCTAATGAGTTCTTTCTCTCTCCACGTTCTTATTCTCTATTCTAGAAGAAAGAGTTATACGTTTGATAAATATCTTAAAAGTTTGTTTGTCTAAGACAATCAGAATTCAGTATGCGCTAAACCAATTATTATTATTAATTAGTTAATAATTAGTTAATAATTAATATTATTAATTTTAGAAAAAAGTTTGACCAAAAGGTAACCGAGATCAGAGAATCTGAGGATGTGCGTGTGGGTGTGATTAAAGAGAAAAATGACACCCACACCAACGCCGCTGATAGGATGAATCATAAAGAGTTGTTTTTCTTTTTTTCAGAATATTCCTCATATAAATTTTGCCACTTATCACATCACTCATCTTTTTAAAGGATCCAAAGATGTCTTTGTTCAAGCTGTCGACATATACTTGTCTGCCCGGGTAAGCTCTATTTTTTTGTAAAATCTTCCCAAATCGTCCATTCATCAAAATGATTTTCTTTATTCAAGGTTACGCGTGCCACGTGTCAGAAATCATCCACGCGCTACTCTTCATCATTTAAATTATGTACCACATTGGGACAATGGAACAATCGATTCAGCATTGTGCGCAAGAATAGGCGCGGGAACAGAAGATAATCCATTTGTCATCTATCGTGATCCTCATTCAATCGACGCCGATTCACATAAACGTTTACATTTTGTCTGTGTATCTGATACTCACAATCAAATTGACAAATTAACAATTCCAGATGGTGATGTGTTCGTTCATTGTGGTGATGCCGTCAAGTTTTGTTCGAGCGCTCGTGATTTACTTAGATTCAACGAATTTGTTGGCACTCTTCCACATACTCATAAACTATTTGTCAGTGGCAATCACTGTGTATCTATCAATCCTGAACGACCAGATCTTACACAAAAAATTCTCAGCAATATGACTTATGTTCAAGATCAAATTATTGATATTGCGGGCATACGTATCTACGGCAGCCCATGGCAACCGAAACGCGGCATTTTCTATCTATCCAACGCCTTTAGCTATCCTTCCAAAAAAATTAAAGAAGATAAATGGTCTCATATTCCAGAAAATATCGACATATTACTGACACACAGTCCTCCTTATAGTATTCGGGATTACAATCCAGTGACTGCTGAACATTCAGGTTGTCCAGGTTTACTAGATGAAGTCGTCAAGAGAGTTAAACCTCGCATTCATCTCTTCGGTCATTTGCATGATGATTATGGCGCAAGTCTGTACAAAAGTGAAGAAAACTTCAAATCATCATCTCACGATATTCTCTTTGTCAATTTATCTATTGATCAAGGAGGACAACTCGCTACACCGATTGTGATCGATTATTTATATTCCCCTGTAACCTATCTTTCAGTTTTTACGCGTTTCTGAGCATTTATAAACAATATCACTTGACGCCTTTGAACGCGTCCAAAATACAACAATTTCCGGATGTTTGAACACGTTCACTCAATCTAAACGTATCTTCACGCGTTCATTCTGAAAGCATTCCGACTAGTTTTTATCCAAAGACGCATTCAAACGCGTTTATTTTATTCCCAAAAAAGTTAAAAAATAATCGTCATTCTATGTCGGAATCGAATCAATACACCATAGCAAACTATGTTATAACACACAGATACTGTGAGCAGTAGAGTTGTAATTTTTCCAGCGACTTCTTGAACCAAGATGCAAACATATGATCAATCAATTGTAACCCAAATACAATTGACTCTGAGTCATACATAGCTTGAAATTGTTTCTATGTTCTTGAATGACATGATTAAGTCTTTTTACATTACTTGTTCTAAGTTTAAGAGTAAAGATTCATTTATCTTTACTTCATAAAATGAAAACAAACTTATTCTTGAGATTTATAAAGTAAATATAAATAAGATCTTTATTTAAAAAATAAAGAAAAATTTCTTTTTGTAATAGGTAAATAGATAAATACGTAGGAATATTTTAAGTTTTATTTATATTCGTTCGTTCTTCGGAAAACGAATAAAAATAAACTCACATCTTGAAAAACTTTCTTCTGTCAAGTTAGATAATTTGTTTATCAATAAGAAAAGAGCTAATGATTATAAGTAACAAACTTTATACGAACTTTTTAACTATACATCCAATTTCGTTTCGAATGGCAACGCATCCAAATGTGTTTTCTATAAATTGAATGCATTGACAGGCGTACCATTTGAAACGTGTTTTATCGATTCTGTCAAATAAAAAGCTTTCATCGGAATATAGAAAATTTTCTTCAAGAATTGAATATGATCGTAACGCATACAGAGATAGGGATGCGTCTTCATGCTTCAACACAGAAACGCGGCAGAATACCAAAATTTTCCACAAACGTTTGTCTCGCAGCGTCTAAAATATGTTTAGTGATTATATGGATTGAAAAATTTACAAAAGTGACAATAAATATTTACGTTAAATATATTTAAAAAATAAAAGTTCAATAAGTCGATATAAATTCTCATATCTCAGCTCGCATAGTAATTGATAATGACGTCGATTGGAATGCGGTGTGTTCCTTTCGTCAATAATTTAAATGTGTAAAACCATACGTGAATTTGTTCGAGAGAGACAAATGTTCACAGCTTTTTGTTAAGACCAATCTGGCAAGTGATATTATATATTCATTTTATTCATCATCAATTTGTTTTTGTTAAAAGGCGTATAATAATAAAAAGATAATCGAAAAAATAGATGAAGAATGGAAAAGTCAAAAAGGATGAGAATACAATTCAAACTAACAAGACATTGTCTAGTTATTTCTGGCAAAAATTTCCATTCGACCATTTTTTGCACATGCCGAAGCCAGAGATGCATTTTTACCATTATGGCATACACCATTAGACAAACAAGTATTTCCTTCGACAAAACATGGAGCACCACAAGTCAGCTGACGCTTCTCTCACGATACGTCCTCACCCATGCTACTAGTAATCAAAAGAAGAACCATGAGAAGACCTCTGAAAAATAGTGCCATAACTTGATAAAGTTGCTGCAAACGATAGAGAATATTCGAATGTGATTAAAATTAATAAAGAATCATATTAAAATAGAGTCAACTTTTGCTTGAGATTATGGTGATTGTGATTGATAATTGTAGTTTTGTCCATTGAAATTCCCTCATTCTTACTTCGACAATATTATCAAAATGAAGAGAGTCGATCATAAGCTAAAGAAACTTATTGTATGAAATGCTAATGTCAACAAACATAAAGTATTAATATAGAGATTTCAAATATAGTTTGCTGAAAAATGTCGACATGACTTACAAGCTTGATACAAGCAGTCATTTATTTAGACGATCTTCTTCTTTGAATAAATTATTGATGTTTTACAACGAAGAAGCGTATCATTTTTCTACAGGAAAGTTTTTTCGAAAATGATTCATATTACTCATATACTATTAATTAAACGATATGGTTGTCGGTTTATTTGTAAAACCTAAACTTATTATCAAATGCAAGGATTCATCATTATAACGAGTGACCCATAATGAATGGCCGCATTTTGCATTTCATATTGTCATCTCTAAATAACTGTGATTAAAAAACAAAATATACCACAAGATGCAGTGTGAAAAGCTTTACAATTTATGCAAGACAGCTTTTCCTACAGTTGCACTTTTTGCTTCCAAAATCGACAAAATTTGGAGCGATCAAATTTCGACCGTGCGAAAATGATATTTTTTTGGTAAAAGATGAATTCGTTTTTTCTCATCTCATCTTCTTATCACCTAATATCTTCTATTTAAAGAAAA